TTTTTAGAAATGAAATATCATTCACCTAAACCACCTCAAAGTTTACTAAGTACTATGGTTTTGTAACATAAATGAAATTCACAGATTGAAGTTAGTACATCCCTAACAAATTGTCAATTTGACAGGTCAGGAAGTAGATTCTTACCATAGCAGATATATACGGTGCCAGCCGAGGAAAGCAGGTCCACCGTGTGCGCCGCCAATAGCAGTGTCACTGTGTAAGGTTGCAATTTCATGGAAAATCTGTAAAGGGAAAATAACTATAGTGAAACAAAATATCAATAGTTTTAATTTTCACGTCAAAAATCATGAAAACATGTCATATTTCAAGAAAACATTGCTAAAACTTTGGACTGAAATTGGACCTGTATTGATGACATTTTATGTTATTTGTTAGTGAAAGAATTATATATCAATTTGATCGAAATATTTATTATCAAATAGGCTTTGATATGAAACATGGTATTTCAGCACTACTGATAATATTACTTTTTGCAGTGATGAAATTAACTTATATTCTTTTTAAGAATCACAGCAGTGCTTTCTAGTCCCTGCAATGAATGACGTTTAAGCTCCTGCTTGGATGCAAATGAAAAGAAGCAATTGAATGAGTTATTTTTTTCATGAAATATTTTCTGTGTTTATTTCGAGTTTCCTCTTTTTTGTTTTCTAAAATAAGCGATTTTCATCAGAAAAAAGAATTAAATGGAATAACACGATAAACATTCCATTCAAAATGACGTTGTCTTCCTTTAAAAATAATTTAATGGTTAAACATCATGCATACATTTATTTTACTCTTACCACATAATAAACACTGTATATATCATATTTAATTAGAGACCATTAAATATTGCTTTCTTTGTAATTAACGTTAATCTTTTTATAGACACTACTTTAAAAAATTATGTTTGCAGCAAACTCACCCCAGATCTGAAAATCCTGTTGAAAGCATTTGTGATTTGATTCCATTGTCCTGGAGTGAGTGCTCGAACCTCACTTCTCACAAGACTGCGGGCTTGACGTTTGACTCGCCAGTGATCTGAAGTCATCTGCCGTAACATTTCATTGAATTTATTGATATTTTCCTGTGTTATATTAGGCTTGTATGCCCGTATTGTATCACCTTTGAAACAGTCCAAGTATGAGATAATTTGTTCTTTTTCCTGTTCCTGGCTCACTTCGCCGAATGTCACGGACATGTTATTACACTTGAACAAAGTCTTGGGGTATGTCCTCAGTTGGAATTTCGAAAAATGTTCATGGGCAAAAGTCATTGCCAATTGGCTGAGAAGGACACAGAAATAAAAAGCTAACGCCATGTTGTCCTATCGAATGAAATAAAAACAAAATTAAAATAAACCTTAAAGGGAATAAATAAAAGACATACCATGATATATTATCAATACTTTTTCACACTCATCTCATCAACTTATAGCCATTGGATGACTCTGTTTCCAGTACTTAGTTCACTGTTAAGGGGGTAAAGAAATCAACAATATATAATTATATGAACAGATTAAAAACATCAAAAATAGACTGAGATTAATATTTTCGAGCAATTTAGATTAAAAGTTTATCACAAAAATGACTGATTATACCTCTGATTAAACAATATATGTTTAAAATAAAATGTCTTGATACTGAATTACAAATTTAAAGAATCATAAACTCATTGAACTAAAATCCCATTAGAATTGGATATCTAATCATTAGGCGTACACAAATAACAAAGATTTGCAAAGTAATTTTTAGAAATGGCTTCTCTTATGAAAAATAATAATATTACAATTGCAATGTGTATTTATATTACTGTTATAATAATACATAGGATGTAACTTGAAGTCTGAGGCTTGCAACCCCCGCCCCGCACCATTTCCCCAATCTTTCTGTATGTGGTTGTGTGATTTGCTATGTTTATGTTTGTATTGATGTGTGTTGGCATATATGTGTATAGTGCATTCTTCAAGATTGTATGTTTACAAGTATTGTATTGGTTTGTTCATAAAATGGAATGTTTTTTCTATTATCAAACAAGTCAGCTATTGAAATTCTATTCTAGATCTATTTAATTTATACTGAGGTAAAATGCAAAATAATATGTTTGTTGTTAAAAGTTTCTATACATGTAATAACTTATTTCTATAGGAGTTTCTACAAGAGTGCTTATTACTGATTAAAATCAACTCACCATTCTGTGTCTTATCTCATCAAGACTGATTTGACAAAGTGACTGGAATTTAAGAACCCCCGCTACATGTATAGTTTAGTACGTCCATAACATCCATGTCACGTAATTGTCAGAAGGTATGATGGATGGTTGCATAAATAGATAGAATATCTTACCTGTTACTTTCGTTTTCATTGTCACTAAAATTATTACAAAGGCGGAATCACAACAAAGACTTCATAATTTCATAATTAACCATAAAGATGTTTTTCTAATATGTTGTGGTCTATATGACAGATAGATGTCTTATTAGCTTACGTGTATATACATATATATATACATATATACGTCTGTTATTTATTGGGTTGCGATGCAGCGGACGCAGTTCAAAGATTGTGAAATAATTCATGATAGAAATGACTGATATGGTTGTGCCTTAAGGTAATAGATACTTATATGATATGCATACATTTTGATCAATGTCAATACATTTCTCAATTCAATAAAGCAGAGTGTTGCTGAGCTCTAAACAGTGTTCCATGAAACTAGTGTACTAATTTGATAAATTCTAGATTACAACGAGACGAATGTAAGATACTGTTTATGAAATGTCGACAATTATCAAATAAGCATATGGATTTGGAGAAATCCAGATTGATGAAGATTATAGGGAAGTTTAATGGTCGTCAGTGGGAAATGTGGTTGTGTGATTTGCTATATTTATTAAAATAAATTGTTATGTATTTTGACTGAGAAAAAAACCCCGAGCTACTGCTGTAATTAATGTGTGACGTCATAATAAAGTAACTTCATAGACATCATAGAACATAACCCATGAGATGCAATATTTTTTTCTAATTTGAAATTTCGTGTAACGCTTTGATTTTATATTAAAGATATACAAGAGAATAACATCTGTTAGTACAAATTTAGAATTAAGTGCAGCCATAAAATGTGCATATTTTCCAATATTGAATGATACGTGTTTTATAGATTCCAGATCTTCTGATAAAAAATTGCCCTTTAATGGATACTCTTTGTTTGCTTCACATAACAAAACCAACAAAGAAAATACATGTTAACGAAATCATACTTCAAACATAAATTGTATCAGCTAAATTTAACCTAAATAAACTGTATATTTACAGAGATAAAGGTAAGTGTTCCAGATATCACTTTAGTTTTTTCGTGAGCTATCAAACCATCAATACTGTAAAGCCAGATATTACTAAATATCATCTGAGGGACAACAGCTGAAATGCGCGTTTTGCTTCTACGTTAATTAAAGGAGATAAAAGCGATAGCCGCGCGTGTAATCTGACGTAAGAGATTGCCGCGGTTATAACTTGACATAAGTAATTGTCGCGGTTGTAACCTGGCGTAAGAGATTGCCGCGGTTATAACTTGACATAAGTAATTGTCGCAGTTATAACCGGACGTAAATGATTGTCGCGGTTGTAACCTGGCGTAAGAGATTGCCGCGGTTATAACTTGACATAAGTAATTGTCGCAGTTATAACCGGACGTAAAAGATTGTCGCAGTTATAACCTGACTCTAGTAATTGTCGCGATTATAACCTGCCGTAAGAGATTATCGCGGTTATAATCTGGCATAAGTGATTGTCGCGGTTATTAATGTCACGGGTACAGCCTGTCATAAGTGATTGTCGCGGTTGAAACCTGACGTAAAGACATTGTCGTGGTTGTATTCTGACAGAAGTGATTGTCCCTTTTGTTACGTGTCATAAGTGAATGTCGCGGTTGTTACATGACACAAGTGCTTTTATCGAAATAGACCCTATTAACGTATAAGCTGTCAGTAATTTTACAATCAATTTCACGGTCTAAATGGTTGAGTCTCGTGAACAATTTCTATTGAACCGTAACCGACTTTTTAAGATCGCTTATCTTATATGTTATGATTAATCATCTGATTGGTTATTCAGGTTGATATGTCAGGGATTGACCCCAATGTTGTATTGACTCATTCACATCACACTTCCTTCAGAACACTTTTCCGTATAATTGAGGTCAGGCTATTTTAAAAGCGCATATCTTAATATCAGGACATTTTATCAAAGGCTTGTCATTACATGTCGATGATATGATATTATAAATGGAGAATGTTTGAAATATAATATTGCCTTTTAAGCTAATTTCAATTTAAAATCAGGTTTGGATATTCAAAAATCTTAATAAATAAATTTTAAAAAAGGGGAAATCTAAACCGATTACACAAATGTAAAAAAACTTGGGCGATATTATTACTCTCAATAAAATTTCATTTTGTTTTTTATATTGAATATCCATTTTTATCTGCTAGATGCGCTAGAAAAAAAAACTGTCGCTTCCATGAGTACCGACTAACAACTCAATCCAAACCAAAATACAGTATTTAATCAAAGATACTTGTAGGTCTTCCTCGATTTAATGAATATTTCTGCCCTGCCCGGTCTGGAGTTGTACTTAACACTACTAACTTCATGCATTGAATAATGACTGTCGACTCGTTAAAATACGTTTATCAGCATGATTCATTAGTGTGTGTGCAGAACAAAGCATGGCAATATTATCATAATTCAAACTCAAATTCAATAAAACAAGGCAAATATGAACTTAGGAAAGATTTACACGGTGACTCATGAAAAAGGAAAACGAGAATAAAACCAAGTCTTCTGCTTAATCGATTACACCCGCCATGTAAACCTTGGTCAATCCAAGTATATAAAGTTACGTTCTCCAAGGAAAGGAGACGAGATATACAACAACGGAACCAACAGGCATACTAACATCAAACACATTCAGCTTAATATTACACAAAGTGATAGAATATCTCACTAACGAGATAAACGTATTTAAATTGTCCATTGTAAATTGTTAATATCTGTAACAGGCAACAATGAGGTATTAAGCCCTGAGCGGACTATGAGTGACATGACTAGGTCAGTTAATTTGTATTATGTTTTTCAACAACCAGCAAAGGAAGATATACACCTAGATGTATAGGGTGCGAGATGATATATTAAGCTAACAAAACATGAGGTTTAGTAAGATTCGGAATAAAAAACGGCAAAGTCGTTCTTTATTTGTTTTTTGGATTTAATGTTGGTTTGTTTTAATAATTTCCTGTATCAACTGATATTTATAAATTCGCTAAAATATGTTAAAATATGTATATGTGATATTTTCGTCTTGTATTCGTCTCTCTTCAGATAAAATAATGCCCACTATTTATTTAGGAAGAAAATAATGAAAACTGGATTCGCTAAGTAGATTATACATCCAGAATGTTAATATCTAATGTTATTTTAATTACATGGCAAATGAGAAAGAAACATTGATCTAATAATAAAAATTAAAATATTGCCACATTTCATTTCTTTGGGCATTGCCTTAAGTACAACAGGATTGAGGAAACAGTATGACAAAGCTGAAACAACGTGTCAGCTAGCATTACAGAAAGGAATACATTCATTACAATTAAAAGACAGTGATAAATTACGCACTATAAATATTTTGTGATTGATTGTATTTACACTGAATGCGATTAATTAATTAGATTTCTTTCGTTCAAAACGTTATATCATCCCGTAAAACCTTTGAAAGTGATTATCATCTCGTCATGATTTTCTTTCTTTGTTTATTTCTATTGTTTTATTTATTCATTTTATTTTTCCATTTATTTATTGGTTTATTCCATTTTCACTTAAGACAAGATCTTGTATACCTACATACTAAACACTATAGAATTTTTGGTTTATTCCATTTTTCACTTAAGACAAGATATTGTATACCTACATACTAAACACTATAGAATTTTTGGTTTATTCCATTTTTCACTTAAGACAAGATCTTGTATACCTACATACTAAACACTACAGAATTTTTCAGTACTGATATAATTGACATAAGCTAAGATTACAATTTCTAAAAAGGCACGTACCCGGTGATCTCGTACTTTGGTTAATTGGCTTTGTTTCATTTCAGAAACCGATGCTAGTTGTGGCTTTGGCGTTGCTCAAAGATCATTTACATTGTAATTGTTATGATGGGTTCAAATCCCAGACGTCTCCCTTGTACTTGTGGAAGGACGGAAGAGATAGCCAATGCTCTTCAGCAATATTGTGTTTATAGCATAGCGTTTAGAGCATAGCAACTGTATTCTTCTCTTATCATTTCTGTTCTGAAACAAATGTTGAAAATAGAGAAGATTCAATACAGGGTACTTACCAAAGCGGTACGATGACATTTTGACCGTATATTTACTTTGAAAATTAAAAGAAAGAGATACATCGCTTTAGAAACATATACACGTAAAGCCACACTACCATGCCTGTATGGCTCTATTGTATCTAATTCTAAATTTGTATTTAAAAAGCTATTCAATTGTGTGCTTTTTCGCACACTTTTCGAGATTGCAGGTTGTAGACGGTGCTGGGGGACATGAGTACCTGAATTTGGCCGTAATGTAGTGAAACGCTAGTTTTATATTGTCCGTCTGCTCTGGTAGTCAGGTCAGGGTTCAGAGTTCATTCTTTGTACATCGTGGAAAAATGCATCATGAGATATGTTTACGTGAAAGTCCAAAGGAAACAGACTTGCGGATTTAGCAAGGCTTAGGTGACCCATAAGGCAACTTTAATACGGTTTAAACGTTTGAAGTTTGATTAATTTTGTTGAAATATGTACTAAGGACAGGTTAATTTCTGTATTTTTCAGTTTTTTACCGCAGGTTGGGGCGCAAGCTAGGTGCAACCAAGAACCCCTACACTGTGTTTGTGATGATTGTGAACTATGGCTATAGGAACTAGGAACTTTGTATATGTAATAAAGGAACTCATTGAAGGCGTTTAGTTTGTATTTCTTTGGACTCACTCGACATCACAGTAAAAAACTCATGGCTGAAAACCCGGGAAAAAGAACCATCAAAATGACGGAAAAGGCACGTCAGGCATTTGAGGACACAGTCGGCAAGTATAAACATAGACTGTTAAATTTATACAGAAATTTAGATTGTCTCATAACTGATATTGAGTATGAAAATATGAACTTGGATGAATTAAAATCCTTGGCATCAGACATTACCCAATCATATTAATCCTATGAACAAGTTTCAACCAAATTCAGTAAATATTTGGAAGAAAGTAGAACGGAACAAGGCCAGGAAGAATTATTATCTCATATGATAGCTGTGGAAACATTAAAATCCCAGTGTGACACGGTTTTGGACCAAATTCAATCATTTATTGACAAAATAAAACCAGTTCAAACTGTATCAGTGGTCGATAACATTTCACAGGGGTTTGTAGTCGAGGAAAAACCTCGGCATAGTGTAAGTGAATATAAAAACGGCGTTTCGGATATTATGTCAATAAAGTCGAAAACAAGTAAAACCTCAGTGCGTTCTAGCATAACTAACATCTCCAGGGTCAGTTCAGTATATATGAAACAACGAGCGAAATTGGAAGCGGCCAAAGTGAGGCTAAAATTTGCTGAGAAAGAGGCCGAATTGCAAAAATCCCTTCAGCTGTTAAAATCACAAAGAGAACTGGACGAGGCAGCAGCCGAGCTTAAGGCTATGGATGACGTTATTGACACTGGTAGCCCTATCAGACATTGTTCACAAGCACCGTCGGATGATGAGGAGTTACACAGGAAGTCTAGGACAGTTGAATTTGTGCAAAGTCAAGCCGAAAATTTGAACACCGGTTATGAAACATCCGACCCCTATTCACATAAAGTGCCGTTAAACGTTGAGGCTCGAGAATTCACCCCAGGTCAGTGTGTAACTGGACTGAATGATTTGACCAAATTTATGCTAAAGAAAGACTTGCTTATGGGTAGACTCACTCAGTTTACTGATAAACCCGAGGAGTATCGTGTCTGGAAAATGTCATTCCTAAATGTTGTAAAGGAACTTGATGTAAGCCCTCAAGAACAATTAGATTTATTATCGAAATGGTTGGGGCCAGAATCTCGAAAACAGGCTGTAAGTCTACGTGCTGCAAACATACACGACCCATCCCAAGCCTTGTGTAAAATCTGGACTAAGCTCAGTGAGAAGTACGGCGCGCCCGAGCAAATTGAGTTATCTTTGAGGGAAAGGCTAAACAAATTCCCGAAATTAACGAACCGAGATGGTCAGAAATTATTTGATCTTTCGAACATATTGGCGGAAAATCAGGCAGTAAAGGAAAACACGGCGTTCAGCTCGATAATGGCGTACTACGATTCGTCCAGCGGTATAAACCCAATTGTTTGCAAGTTACCCGTGTTCATACAGAACAAATGGACTGACTATGCGTACAGATATCAAACCGAGCACAATGTTACATATCCGAAATTCAGTGTTTTCGAGAGGTTCATACAGGAAATGAGCTCGCGAATGAACAACCCGAGTTTCAATTACACTGATGGTACTGCGGTACCTAGCGTCAGCAAAGAACAACGTCGTACTGCGTCTACCGGAAGTAGGAATGCATACGTCTTTTCAAAGAGAACGGAAGTTAATAATGTGCCTACAGCATTTTTGTGCCCACTACATGACAGTGCGAGAGAAGTGAAGCATTTGTTATCAGATTGCCACCTGTTTCTATCGAAATCCAAGGACGAAAAGAGGGAAATTCTCTTAAAAACACAGCGTGTGCTTTAAGTGTTGTAAGGACAAACATTTGGCCAAGGACTGTACAGAAAAAGTAATCTGTACTGTGTGTAAAGGTTCATCGCATTGCACTATGTTTCATGATGACAAATATCAGCCCCGTCAGTCTCACGGCGAGGAAAGGACAAGTATCAGGGGAGACAATCGTAAGATAAATTCCAAGTGTACACAGTTGTGCGGTGAAAGCGGTCCCTTCGTGGGGAAATCGTGTGCAAAAACGGTGTTAGTAAATATCTACAAGGACGGACAACTTAATAATGTGTTGCGTGCTTATGCCATTATAGATGAGCAGAGCAATCGGACATTGGCCAACAGTGAGTTCTTCGATTATTTTGGAGATCATTCTACGGAAACCGGATACGTACTTTCATCATGTGCCGGTGAAATTCAGGTAACCGGGAGGCAAGGCAGCGGATACGTAATGGAATCATTGGACAAGGAATACTCATTAAAATTACCGTTGATTACAGAATGCAATCATATTCCGAATGTGAAACAGGAAATACCTACACCGGAAGTTGCACGACACTATAGTCACATGCAGGACATTGCTCATCTTATCCCAGAGTATGAAAACGATACGCCCATATTGCTTCTCGTTGGCAGAGATCTCATTTCGGCGCATCATGTGTTGGAACAGCGAACTGGACATGAACGTGAACCATATGCACAGAAATTAAAATTCGGTTGGGTAGTTGTAGGAGAATCGTGCCTAGGTCTCGTTCACAAACCTACGGTCATAACTGTGAGCAAAACGGTCGTTTTACCCGATGGCGTCATGGAAGGGGAATTTATTAAGGACGAGTACGGTAATTGGAGTGCACCGTTACCGCTAAAAAAGGAACAACCTACTTTGTCAAACAATATGGATCAGGCAAGGCATCGCGCAGAAAATCTACGAAAGTCGTTACTGAAAAATCCTACTAAGCGCGAAGAGTTTTGTGCGTTTATGCAAAACATTTTTGACAAGGAGCATGCAGAGGTAGCTCCCGAGTTACAAGACGGTGAGGAAGCATGGTATCTACCGATATTCGGGGTTTATTATCCCCAAAAACCCAACAAAATCCGAGTCGTGTTCGATTCGGCGGCGAAGTTTAATGGACATTCGCTTAACGACATTCTCATGACAGGTCCGGATCTCATAAACAATTTGGTTGGTGTGTTAATAAAATTCAGGAAGGAACATATTGCGATTATGGCCGATGTTGAACAGATGTTCTTCAACTTCTATGTGCACAAGCGTGACAGAAACTTTCTACGTTTCTTATGGTTTCAAGATAATGACCCCACACAACCGCTAAGGGAATTTCGTATGTGCGTGCATGTGTTTGGCAACTCGTCTTCTCCGTGTATTGCCACACTTGGATTAAGGAAATCTGCTTGCGACCATATCAATTCTTCCGCGTGCGACGAGGTGTGTTGTTTCGTCAAAGAGAGCTTCTACGTTGACGATGGGTTGACCTCTGTATCTGACGAAGGTCACGCAGTGCAGTTGTTGAGAGACACTCAAGCTCGATTACGGTAAAACGGAAACATTCACTTGCACAAGTTCTCGTCGAACAGTGTTGATGTTTTAAAGCAGTTTCCAAAAGAGGATACCAGCGAAATTTGCGATATGGACTTCGATGATATCGTTCATAGGAGTCTCGGACTACGTTGGAAAGTCGGTTGTGATACGTTCACGTTTAGTGTTTCTGATGAGGTGAAACCGTTCACCAAACGAGGCGTACTTTCTACAATACATAGTGTATTCGACCCCTTCGGCTTTGTGGCACCAGTTATTCTCGGAGGCAGACTATTAATGCGAAATGTGTTATCGTCAAAGAATCTTGACTGGGATGACCCTTTACCTCCGGACTTGAACTCTGATTGGAAAAAATGGAAGTCTTCGCTTAAAGATCTGGAACAGTTAGAAATTTCGAGATGTTACTCCAATTCGTCATTGGAAAAGGCAATTCGTCGTGAACTAAATGTATTCTCAGACGCGTCAAAGGATGCCATAGGCGCAGTAGCATACATAAAAAATTATGACGTACAGGAAAATGCTTCTGTTGGATACTGTAACCCCACTGTGCCCCCGCTCGCGTTGTGTTTCCCGAAGAAAAAGCCAAGTCCAAATTCCTTTCTACTTGTTGTTTATACAGCACAGTGAAGTCCACAAGAAGGCTCGCTCCCTATCACGCTTCCGTAGAGTCAGTCCCACAACCGGAAGTTGTCCCTTTGGCATCCCTAGATCCAAGTGCAATGAGCAGCGAAAACTGCCCAGTATTTATAGGGGAAGCCAAAAGTCGGACAACTCCGCAGGTGGAAATTCCTCAAGAACAATGGTTGATCCTGGCGACCCAACCATATCAAGATTCTGTCAAAATGATACCGATTTGGACACAAAATGCAGAATCTTGGCGCCATTTGTTATTGTGTATGGGATAAGTGCTGATGGATTGGGGATGCACATTTAGTGCAACGACCGTTGATTGGTCCATTCCCCAATCCCAGGAAGCTATTGTCTGGAATGACAATTGGTACTACCAGTCTTCAGACCCACAGCATATTGGTCACTATTTACATATATAATAATCAAATACTTAACAATTACGCAGAACCTAACATCTGCTAAATCGGTCATGTTTACCTTACATACTCATAATGCTGTACCAAGCAACTATATACAGTTCACTATCTAAACTATTATTTTCTCATGACCTTGAAATATTTTACGTTATAATTATACAATCATCGTTACTCTAACTGTACTGCACTGCTTATATATACACATCACATTTGTTTATATGAATTCTGGCTACCATTGTTTACATAAGTCCCTACTTGGCTATGCAGTGCTGGACAGGTAAAGATCATATTTGGTGCAATATACTATGTACATATTTAACACTCAATTCCTGTTATAAGCTAAATTAAACAACAATAAATTCATGAAAATTATTAACATGTTACATTCAATCACGCGCATGGGAACTGACTGTACTTATACGAAACCGCTTACTCTTATTAGCATCTACAGGAAAGTTATACTTTCGTCGATGTTATATGGATGCGAATTATGGAATAATCTAACTCAATCTACGGACATCCACTCGATCGGATATGTGCGAAAGTATAGTCGGACTACACAGGATTCAGTGTGAAATTGAGAAAAGAAAAATGTACTTCTTACGTTGTATTGTTGATTGTTCACCAAACAGCATTCCAAAAAGTATTTTTATTCGTAGAGTTCTTAAATATATAGATGGACCGAAATCAAAGCAAATGGGGTTTATCCCTGATATCCTAGCAATCTTAACCAAATATGAATTATTAGAATGGATACAGTATTATATCCTATGCGCTGAATTCCCGTCCAAGGCTCAATGGAAACTTTTAGTTAAAGGAGCTATTCAAATACGCGAAGATCGCTTATTGATCGAGAGAATGAACAGTGATGACGAATTCGTTCGATTTCGATCTGTCCACTCTACCTATAATAAGCCGTATGTCATGCTCAAAACACCGGACATCGACAAAAGGACAGTCCTTTATATTTGTAAAATGCTAACGTGTGTTCCTGTAGAACAGTACAATACATGTACGTTGTGTAACAATCCGTTTTACGACACAATAAGACATTTTGTCACAGAATGTACAAGTACATTTATTTTGAGAGACACATTCATGATAAAAGTCGTGGATTATTACGGTGTACAACCATATTTGATCATGTCCAGCCTTGCAGAAGAACTCCTGCTCCAGACAATATTTAGAGGGAACATTTCGGGATTTGAATTTGAAAGTAATTCTATAACAGAGGAATTTACAAAGGACTGTGCCTATCTACTGCATAAAACAGCGGAAATGTATTTCCATGCTGGTGAACTGTGAAATATAAATGTATTTTGAGCTCAGAAAATTGGTCAAAAGTGATCCTTGATTGCAATGTGCTTTTAGCACTCATCTTCTTCATGTAAATTTATCCATTTCTTTTTCTGTACTCTCAGCTTTGAGGAATAAAGAATGATGATTTAACACTCAATTCCTGTTATAAGCTAAATTAAACAACAATAAATTCATGAAAATTATTATTTTCATATTTTAAATTTCCAACCAACATTATATACAATAAAATACTGCTTCCTGTTCATATAACCATTTCCGGTTTAACAACAGAGTGATCTACTTGATAGTGTCACAATACGTTCTTGGCAAATCGAAAGTAGCGCCTTCCCACGGACATACCATTCCAAGACTAGAACTATGCGCGGCTGTTCTGGCTACTGAACTCGGTTTATTTATATCCGAACACGTCGATGTTGTGTTTGACGCCACCTACTACTATACCGACAGTCAGGTAGTACTAGGGTATATATTTAACGACACGCGCCGTTTCTTCGTTTATGTTGCTAATCGGATTGACAAGATTCTGAAGTTATCTTCCAAACAGCAGTGGAGTTTCGTTTCTAGTGAATGTAACCCTACCGATAGTGCGACTAGGCCAATGCGTGCGAAAGACGTTGGAAAGTCAGTGTGGTTGAATGGACCCGTTGACGTCATGAGTGATTTGCAAAGTTCGTATAGAGACCAAGTATTTCCGTTGATCGGTAACGACGACGGTGAAATAACGTTCGTCAACGAAACAAATGTCATGAAAACTCACGTTCGGAAGGACTTCGCTCTCGATTCTGACCGTTTCGCGAGATTTTCGTCATGGACTAGGTTGGTTAGTGCAATAACCTTACTGAAACAAGTCGCGCATCGTCATCACAACGGAACAGACAATCCAGACGTGTTGCGTTTTGCTAACGATTCAAAGAACCTCATACTGAAGGTTGTTCAACAAGAGTTTTATTCGATGGAAATCGACTGTTTGCAGAAAGGACTGCCGTTAAACAGGAACAATTCTTTGTTGAAATTGTCGCCGTTTCTAGACGACGAGGGGCTCCTGAGGATTGGTGGTCGGATTCAGAATAGTGACATTGACTTACCTGGAAAGGATCCGATCATTGTCCCAGCAAAACATCATGTGGCTACTCTAATCGTGAGACATTATCACGAGAAATCGGAACACCAAGGCCGACATATTACGGAGGGTAAAATACGTTCTTCTGGTTATTGGCTAGTGGGAGGAAAGCGATTAATTTCCTCTATTTTACATCACTGTGTCGTGTGCAGGAAACTCCGAGGAAAGATTGTGGAACAAAAAATGTGTACTTTACCGCAGGATCGTTTGACACCATGTCCGCCTTTCACTTACATTGGATTGGATGCGTTTGGACCATGGAATGTGCGCGCGAGAAAAACTAGGGGAGGACAAGCTAACGCAAAACGTTGGGCTATAATATTCTGTTGCATGGTATCGAGAGGGATACATATTGAGGTCGTAGAGGAGATGAGCACATCTTTCTTCATTAACGCACTGCGGAGATTCATCGCGATCAGAGGACCGGTAAAGCACATTAGGTCGGACAAAGGATCTAACTTCGTAGGAGCCGTTAAGGAACTTAACTTGAATGTTATTGACGTCGAGGACAAATCCGTGAAAGACTTTCTTTCAGAGGAAAGCATCACATGGACTTTTAATCCTCCATATGCCTCCCACATGGGCGGATCTTGGGAACGGCTTATTGGTACCGTTAGAAGGATTCTGGACAACATGTTGCGTAATACTGACACTAAACACCTCACGCATGAAGTGCTTACGACTTTTCTAGCCGAAGCGTGTGCTATACTGAACCAGCGACCACTGGTACCCGTATCTGACGACCCTGAAAACCCAGTGGTATTGTGGCCAAGTACTCTCATTACGCAAAAGACTGACGTTCCAAATGTAGATCTAACCTTGGTAGACTTCTCAGTGAAAGACATGTTTCGATCCCAATGGCGATGTGTTCAGGTATTGGCCCAGAAATTTTGGAACGCGTGGAGAAGAGACTATCTACAATCGCTACGAACGCGACAAAAGTGGAATCACGAACGTTCAAACTTGAAACAAGGTGACATTGTTTTGCTGAAGGATCATGACTCTCATCGTAATGACTGGCCAATGGGAATTGTTGAATGCGTTTTCCCTAGTCACGATGGTCTTGTTCGTAAAGTCAGAGTTAAGACAATTCGTAATGGACGATCGGTTTCGTATATCCGTCCTATTACTCAGTTAGTACTATTGATGGCAGAGTGAATTATTGTGTTGAACATTGACAGCGACGAGTGAATTTTATTGCTTAGAAACTTTAGTTTATTGTTATTCAGATAAGTTTTGATATTATATATTTTCATCGGGTTATAAATAATATGAATGTTTACAGGGTTTAAATGTAGTAGTGATTCAGCAATCAGGCGAGGAATGTAGTGAAACGCTAGTTTTATATTGTCCGTCTGCTCTGGTAGTCAGGTCAGGGTTCAGAGTTCATTCTTTGTACATCGTGGAAAAATGCATCATGGGATATGTTTACGTGAAAGTCCAAAGGAAACAGACTTGCGGATTTAGCAAGGCTTAGGTGACCCATGAGGCAACTTTAATACGGTTTAAACGTTTGAAGTTTGATTAATTTTGTTGAAATATGTACTAAGGCCAGATTAATTTCTGTATTTTTCAGTTTTTTACCGCAGGTTGGGGCGCAAGCTAGGTGCAACCAAGAACCCCTACACTGTGTTTGTGATGATTGTGAACTATGGCTATAGGAACTAGGAACTTTGTATATGTAATAAAGGAACTCATTGAAGGCGTTTAGTTTGTATTTCTTTGGACTCACTCGACATCACACGTAAACTGCATGCCACGTTTTGAATCATTCGAATGGTGGCACGATTCATGATATATTCATGTAGTTGACGTTATTCTGATCTGATAGATGAAAACAACGAAATTTATTAAATTATCGGGCTGTGCATCTCCCCATCCTGGTTTAGACTTTTGTTTAGATCACTTTATATTTTCTTAGTCGCCTCGTAGACTTCAAAATTTTAGAACCATAGCATCACAGCTGTATGATGCAGTCCAATTCATTGTGTGGTTCTATTGTATCCAATTCTTAAATTGTATTAAATGTACTATACATTTGTGTGTCTTTTGTACAATCTTAGATTTCAAAATTACAGCCTCTACATTTCCTTCTATCCCCTGCTATGAAACGCATTCATGAATTATGAATACAATATCTTAGTGTTCTAAGACTTTTATTATTTCTGCTCTAATCAATCTTTCAAACAAATGTGTTTTACCAGCTAATACCCTACAATATTTTTAAAGCGGAATATCCATGTTATTTCTTTTATATTACGCTCATTGCATCCATGCCTTTCAACTGCAAGCAAACGCTGGTCAGCTTGTACTTATTCTACCTTTACTTATAGCTAAAATACCGGGTTTTTTTTTCAAATTAACAATTAATGTTTTGGACGATTACATGATCTGATTAATCACTTTTATTCCTGGTAATCAGTTATGGATTTACTGAACATAGCAAACTAAGGTGCAAATGTTCTCATTTACAGTGGACAGATTGATTCATGATTTTTATTTTTGACAACGATGACGGACAAACTCCTTTTTAAAGATCCTAATGAGATGTCACCTTTTTGCTTTAAAGGTGAACGCAATAGTTCTGTTGGTTACAGCGTTTGCTGAAACAATCTGAGATGACGATTCGAAGTGCGTTGTTTGATTACCCATTCTTTTTAATTTGAGAAGCTGGCTGGTCTGTCCTGACGCGGTTGTGTCCTTGGGGCAAGACATTTTACCCTAATTGTTCTAGATGACATGCACCAGATCTCTCGTATGTTCTCAACGAGGTAGTCACCAGCTTCTACAAGTAGACCCTGACTCAATAGAACAGTGATTGTTAACTGGGCGATACACCCAACAATCTAAATAAAAAAAATCTCTTGCAACATTGACGAATCCCAAAAAGAGAATGAATTTGTATCGTTGAGTTCTGATACTAAATTTGTGTTGAAAGCACAGCAGTGGTTTTATTTAGAATACAACTAGATGACCTCTCTCTATGTATGTTCATATCATCTAGAACTTCTTATTTCTACACAAATGGACTTGACGTCCTTCCAAAATTTATCTAGGGCCGGATTGCTTACGTTGACACTGAAATATGTTGTCGATATAAAAAGACTCCTATTAAGTGGAAACATAATAACATGAAAAGACTTTCAAGATACATGTATATTATGTATACTAATTAAGTGGTTAGAGGACAAAGAGGGTAGAAACTTAAGTAAAGTATTCAAGAGAATATATCTGTAACAACAATCAGAACAACGGTGTGGTGTTGGAATTAAGAAAGAGAAAATGTTAACCACATAAATATACCTTTCTAAAATAATTATCATAAAACTAATATGTAAGTTGATTTGAGAAATTCATAAAAGGTACATTCTATTAGAAAGACTATAATTAGCTCCTTTTTCACTGAACAAAAATTATTATGATTGAGTTGAATACTTCCTTCATGAATGTTTCTGTATGAAAACTTTTATTTTAATTATAGGTTTCCTTTGTCATAATTCATCTAAATTGTGTAGAAAAGATATGATTGATTTCAAATGTGAAAAAAGGCAGATATAATTACCTGAATTCTGGCCCATTCTTGTACTACATAATATGAACATGAACAAGAATGATAAGGTATTTAAATTGAGTGTCAGACCAATCTTACATATTTTGAAAAAATATGCAAATACGTTTTACTTACGAGATACTAAAATTATTCAAATGAAAATATCAAACAAAGAAAAGTTTGTTTATCATATTGTGAATATAAGCTCTGCTCCAATGAGGGGAAAAGTGGAAGAGTGATTAGGCCAGCTCCTACCGACAATTCACTCCTCCTTCTTTCATCAGAATCTTGATAATCTGGTTATTATATGTCATGTAAAAACATTCTAGATTTACTAAAATCATAAACATTAACTGATTGTGAATTCGAAAACAATCATAATTGTATCCACCAATAAGCGATAACATGGATAAAATCATACAAAATTACACAAGTTTTAAATACTGCCATGTCTTCTTTTCATAAAAAAAAAGAACTGACTTGGTTAATAGAGGTTGTAATTCCTTACAAATGATTTTTAGGAGTAATAGAGATACATCTAGTATATTTGCTCTTGCAACATTGAGATCCCAATATAGGTGGTATTTACAAAATATGGACATCTGGCGATCTCTGTTCATAAATAAACCAAGTTAAAGTTCAGTTATTTCATTAAACAATACAAGAAATTCCAAGTTATTACTCCCTTTTCTAGCCCCGATGGAAGTATGCGAGGAGTCTTCACTGTGGAAGGAAACCAGATTACCAAAAAAAATTGGACATGCCGTGCAGGTGGTCTCACACCTTTTCACATCTGTTCCGGTCCGGGAATCGTGCGAGTGCAGATCACTGCGGTGTGATTTCGACTTTAAAGTTTATCCTGTAAATCATTTTTGAATAAACGATATGTTCTTAATGCAATGTCGTAAAAAGACCCGGTATCACACTATAGACTGGAGAACCACGTGCATGTATATCCATTCATCGTTATTGAACACGTTTTGCTTGATTTTTTTGACATAACGAAATTAGTTGAATTATGAGCATCAGTTATGATATTGACGTTACCTTATTTACTTATTCTTTAGCTTTTGCGTCCTACAATGTTCTTTTCGTACAGCATACGATCATTATCTACATCTTTCAGATTACAACAGATGCTGAGAACCACTTATGTTGTTAGGAAACACAAAACTCCGTGCCAATAATGTCTTTTGTAACCTACAACGGAAGAGTTTCTTCCTACACCTAGAAATATCTATAATTCGGTGTTCGATTTGCCCCCAAATGATAATAAACAGACTAAGACTTACCATACGCCGGAATGAACTTGGTTGTCGAAGAAGCGTTTGCTCTACCCGCTGATTAAGCTAGTTCCTGTACAGCATATCTAAGACCTGGATGTTCATCAAGTCAGAGCCCAATATTTATCTATAGTTGCTGGTTATTTCGACTGTATAATTAACACATGTGACCTTGACATGAATTTCGGCGGTCGAAATGGTCATTTCAATTCATTCCAATAATGCTATGGTTCAGAATATACACTATTCTATAAACATTAGACTTATGGAAAGATGAAAAAATTACCAGTGAACTTCTCGGTTTAGGTTTTTCACATTTCTTTCGATCACATTTTATTCCTCCGTCACTTCATAGGTTTAACAATAGCATCATTGACGAGTCCTAGAAGGACAAACAGCGGTATAATAAAGTTTAACTATTGTTCGGATTTGTTGTATCTTGTCTGCATTTGCATTTATTGTTACTATTCATTGGTGTGTCTTTTGTACAACCTCAGATTCCGAAGAGAGTTTGTACTTAGTCTCCATTAACGACACCTTGCTACAAAAATATCAAAACCTGCGAAACAAGGTTTTTAGTTTTTTTATGAACATATGTTAATCACTATCGCTGGCAGGAAGAGCGCGAGGAGTCTTACTGTTGTAGAAAACCGGAGTACTTGGTCAAATCCAAGAAATTAATGTCACGTTCTCAAATAAGAATAAGACTCATACATGTTAAGTTTCATATCGCATAAAAACATAGAATATTTCTCAATGAGATCACTATAAAGACCGTAAAACTTCTATTACGTTTCACCAAACTGCATCTCTAGTATACCCGCTTATGAATCTTCACGACAGTTGACGACATCTTGCACGAAAATCGTGATATTAGGAACGGACCCCTAAATAGAAATCAACTACGACATGTAAATCCCGTAGGTTAGAGATGCAGGATTGTTGCTATCAAGAAATGTAAAATTCACCATAGGCAAAATGACCATCATGCTTGTCCTACAGCTGAAAGAAGAGTCTATCGTGTCGTTTATATCAAATTCTGGTGGGTATATACGACGGAAGTGGTCCATAAATCAATAAATTCAAAGACGTCATTAATATACCTGAAGATAAATTGAAAGGGTTTTGTGCAATGTCTTTGTTACCTGTTTTGATATGCTCTCAGATGCATTCAGCCTCATATGAAAACCAAGGCAAAACAGTCAACAGAAAGGCACAGTTCCATGTAGTTCCCATAGGTATGCCAACAGTCTGTTAGAAGATCATACCACCAAACTCTGCGAAGATGTTGTCAACCAGAAACTCGATCATTTTCTGATTTTGTC